CTCAACATTTTCATTGTTCCACACTCAACAAAACGTACCTCAACATTTTCATTGTTCAACACTCACCAAAACGTACCTCAACATTTTCATTGTTCCACACTCAACAAACGTACCTTAACATTTTCATTGTTCCACACACTCACCAAAACGTACCTCAACATTTTCATTGCTCCACACTCAACAAAACGTACCTCAACATTTTCATTGTTCCACACTCACCAAAACGTACCTCACAAAACGTACCTCAACATTTTCATTGTTCCACACTCAACAAAACGTACCTCAACATTTTCATTGTCCCACACTCATCAAAACGTACCTCAACATTTTCATTGTTCCACACTCATCAAAACGTACTTCAACATTTTCATTGTTCCACACTCACCAAACGTACCTCAACATTTTCATTATTTACACTCAACAAAACGTACTCAACATTTCATTGTTCCACACTCAACAAAACAATTTCAATATTTTCATTGTTCCATTCTCACCAAAACGCACCTCAACATTTTCATTGTCCCACACCATCAAAACGATGCCTCAACATTTCATTGTTCCACACTCATCAAAACGTACCTCAACATTTTCATTGTTCCACACTTCAACAAAACGTACCCTCAACATTTTCATTGTTCCACACTCACCAAAACGTACCTCAACATTTTCATTGTTCCACACTCATCAAACCACCAACATTTCACAACCACTCACCAAAACGTACCTCAACATTTTCATTGTTCCACACTCAACAAAACGTATCAATGATTCATTGTTCAACACTCAACAAACGTACCCAACATTTTCATTGTTCCACACTCAACAAAACGTACCTCAACATTTTCATTTTCATTGTTCCACACTCACCAAAACGTGTACCTCAACATTTTCATTGTTCCACACTCAACAAACGTACCTCAACATTTTCTATTGTTCCACACTCACCAAAACGTACCTCAACATTTTCATTGTTCCACACTCAACAAAACGCACCTCAACATTTTCATTGTCCCACACTCATCAAAACGTACCTCAACATTTTCATTGTCCCACACTCATCAAAACGTACCTCAACATTTTCATTGTTCAACACTCACCAAAACGTACCTCAACATTTTCATTGTTCCACACTCAACAAAACGTACCTCAACATTTTCATTGTTCCACACTCAACAAACGTACTCAACATTTTCATTGTTCCACACTCACAAAACGTACCTCAACATTTCATTGTTCCACACTCAAACGTACCTCAACATTTTCATTGTTCCACACTCACCAAAACGTACCTCAACATTTTCATTGTTCCACACTCAACAAACGTACCTCAACATTTTCATTGTTCCACACTCACCAAAACGTACCTCAACATTTTCATATTGTTCCACACTCAACAAAACGTACCTCAACATTTTCATTGTTCAACACTCACCAAAACGTACCTCAACATTTTCATTGTTCCACACTCAACAAAACGTACCTCAACATTTTCATTGTTCCACACTCAACAAAACGTACCTCAACATTTTCATTGTTCCACACTCACCAAAACGTACCTCGCTTTTATTGTTCCACACTCAACAAACGTACCTCAACATTTTCATTGTCCCACACTCATCAAAACGTACCTCAACATTTTCATTGTTCCACACTCATCAAAACGTACTTCAACATTTTCATTGTTCCACACTCACCAAAACGTACCTCAACATTTTCATTGTTCCACACTCAACAAAACGTACCTCAACATTTTCATTGTTCAACACTCAACAAAGCGTACCTCAACATTTTCATTGTTCCACACTCACCAAAACGTTTCTCAACACTATTTAGTGCTTTGCAACAACACACTCAACAAACCGTATATATGTAACTGAACCGTATATGTAGCTGTATAGATATATACGCAGTTGCTAGGCGTCGAGGAATATTTTATTCCACGATCCTTTCTGTTATCATTTTAAAGCTCAACATGCTGAGAGCGTTTGCACACGTCACTTAACATCACTCAACAAACGCCTGACAATGTTGAGCGAATGTTTAGTCAACATTTCGAGAGCGTTACCACCTAGCTTGAACTCTAAAACGGTAGACTAGTGAGTGAAAGCAATCACGTGAACTTTCAGCATTTTTACTTCCGTTGCCTTCATCAAATAAACGTACCTTACGCAAGTGCCGATGATTCGTTGGGTTGTGAACGGTATTTTCCCATCTATCACGAGAGAGCGCAGATCAAATGTAACGACAAACTTCAAAAACCTTTCGTAACTCGAAAATTCTGTCTTCAAACTAAAACACGATAAATTTCTCAACAATTGTTTAACTGGCACAAGTTTACATAGATACGGAAAACTAATAGCGCATTCAGACTGAGTGCCCCGGCACGGACACCAATGTGAACACGACATTTTGATGGTGCCCGAGTCAAAATGCCCGGGTCTGGGCACCACGAAAAAGGCAGTACCCAAGTACGGTTCTCAAGCACGGACACCAATGTGAACGACGACACCTGAGTAACATGTACAGAGAGACGCGTATTCAGCGTATGGTTTCAAAAGTTGTTAACAATGAAAAACATGAAATTATAAATAGACGAATCTAGTGAGTACTACGTAGTGTGAACGGCCTGCAGATTTATGACCAAACCAGGGTATCGTACTCCGGCACTCAGTCTGAACGCGCTATAATTGGAGTCGTAGAGTCTAGGATTGTACTAGGTAGTATTCTCGAGAAACTATGAAATAGAGGTTTGGGCTTTCACTTTCTGCGATCCTCCTCAGGGAAAACAGTTCTTAGCTAACAAACCAACCGATTCAAACATTGTAACAAACAACTAAGTTATTGCATAGTCAATGATTCGAACGCTGGAGTATCGTTACATGTTCGAACATGTAGATCGTCCAGGTTAGTATGAAGTTCATTAAAAATAACTGTTGGTGTTGACTGACGTTTCGACAGCCTTAGCGAAAGAGACAGTCAGCGGTAGCCATCTTCTTAGTCATGTGACAGCCAACGTCAACACCAACAGTCAGGTGGACGATGTAGGTCAGAGTAATCCTGGTCGTTAAGGTATTGTCTATAATGCTTGATAATTCCCACCAGTCGTTGAAATTGTTCATTATTCAAAATATAATGAACTCGACAATTCCTACGGTTTATTAAAAACGTGAACCTTTTTGGGTTCAAACGTTCGAATGAGGCAAATTCCCAACTGATGCTTATTCAACCTCACAGATTCCCCCATAGGAAGAGCAGACCATGCTATACTTACATCTTGTCTTCAGTTACAATGATGTGATTAATAGTAAATTTTTTGATTGCTTTCACCAACATCCTCGCTCGAACACTTGCGTACGACACTTGATGAAGGAGCTGAAATTGCATTCATTAGAATTCGTAGTATGGGGCTAAAGCGTTTAACTTAAGAGGACAGCTATCTTACCTTTAAGATTTTCCTCCGATTCGAAAATAGCGAAGAAAGTTGACGGTAGGCAAATTGCTCTTTGATCAAAGAAATGGCGAGTGTTTTCATGGGTGCACTGGTGCCTAAAATGCAACATATGAACCAGTGCGCATGGTTATTGCGTTTTTTACAAAGGAGATACATTTGCTCAGCTTAAGTAAGAAGTCTAGAAATGAGTTATCATATCTAGCCCACTTACAATAATCTAGGCTTTGTATTCCCTTCTCAGATACACCCTATAATCCCATCGAGTTCAAATATCACCCCGTGATCTCATCTGTTTCAACACTATCCCAAGAATTCTCTATCATCAGCCCAGTGAACTGTAAATATCAACTGGAACGTTAACAATGCCGCCATCTTCCGTCATCTCCGAAAACGAAGCTTGTTTTCCTGAGTTTTTAGAAATTTGATGATATTATTCAGAAAATCAACAACGATACACATAAAATACAGTAGCACAATTTGTCATGAAAAGTTTCAGCAAACAAGATTTGTCAGGAAAACCTAAAAACTCAGATACAAATACATCTTAACTGGCTTCAAAATGTCGTATGGAGCTAGCATTAGAGTTAGCGTTCCAGTTTATATTACAGTTCACTGCGTTAGCCAAGGTCAAGATCATATTATAAATAATATAAAAAACCTGGTAAGTCGGTCGCAAGGTCAATATCCTTCACAGTATCCTGGTCGTCTTCAAACTTTACATTTATGCGAAGACTTCGGTCAAGAAATGTAAAATTCAACTCTGTTTCACTACACGTCTCTAGCTTCCATTCTTGAATGCTACAATCAAGAGCGACACTTATCACGTGTCATCGACTAACGATATTACTGGTGCTGTTACAGCAAATGACTGTAGAAATTTCGAGGTCCGAATAATCAATAACCTTACCCTGTTTGCGCTGGAAGAAGGTTTTCGATTTCTTCAACGTGTTTCTCCAGTCGGCAGGCCAGATTTAGGAAAATGAAGTTATTGGTGGGCCGGATTATTACATGAATAATATTTAATATTTTAATCACAGATATAGATTCGATACAATCGGCGGGCCAGTCAAAACTCTTTCAGGAGTCGACCCGGCCCGCGTGCCGTATGTTGCCTACCCCTGTATTAATAGATCATCTACATCCATATACCTCGTGCGGGTCCATGAGCAATATTGAAGGAAATCTTCGTTCCTGTATACGTTACATTTGTTTGAGCTATCGCACAAATTAGCTTAATTCAAAATTTATTCATTTTGCAATTTTAATTGGTATCTCAAAAGAAATGCCATAGCAAAATGAGTCATTTACATCTTGGTAGTATCTTTGCATATTTTGCTTGCAGTTTTTGTTGTAAAGTTCTTCCTGCCAAAACGATAAAAATTTTATAAAACATGATATCAGAACAAAGTTGGAAGCCGTTCTGCGAGCTCGAATAATGCAGAATAGCTGAATAAAAACGCTCGAACGGATGACGTATGCGGATAGAGCTGTTCTTCTAAATTAAAGAGACCCATACAGAAACATGCGTTTATCACGAAGGTTACATTAACAACAGACCGTAAAAGATCTGAAATAACCAACGTCGTATAAGATACTCATCCTTGCCTCAATAATCTCTTTCGTCCTTCACATTACGTCAACTCTATGAAGCAAGTTAAATTTAATGTCCCTCAAACAAAAACAGATGAAACCAGTAAAATTAACGATCAATGTATTGTTACCAGATCTGGAAGCCCATCCTGTTATCGCAGTGATTTTATTCATTCAATAATCTCTGTCAGAACGACAGAGATTATTAAATGTTAAAGAAATCGACGTTCTCCTTTTCTTTTCAGGTTTGCTTCAAATTTCTCCTGCAATCTCCCGAGTTTAGCCTGGATTTCACGAAGCGCAGACCGCTTCTTCTCCAAACCCTAGTAGAGGACGACGAACGTTTACAGCCTTTCTAGTGATGACCTCATTTAGATTAACACGTCCCGAACATCGAATAATAAAGGTCTCCCGATGCGAAGAATCCTCAATTTTTTAACGTCACCCTTGTGATAAAATTCAACATCAAACCGAACTAGAATTTGCTTGAACCACTTAGGATTTTGATAAACCGATGTACAGTTTGGTCGAAGCGATAAAAGATTGGGCGAAACTGATAATTTGGTCAAGCTGATTTGAGATTTGGTCAAAGGGATTTGAGACTTGGTCAAAGCGATTCCGGAACTTTTCAAGGAACGATTAAACGTTCTTCCTTACGAAGACCCTGCATGTTGATCCAAATGTGTCCTTGTGTAATAAAAACTGATGCCCAAAGAACACAGTCAATTTGAAAGTAACTCTGAATTGACTTGATGAATTGAAATACTTGTACACAACTTTTATTTGCCCTCATATCCTACCTCCATAGCCACAGCTAACTCAGCCTCAGCAGCAGCCAAAGCTTCCTTCTTTGGAGCTACCACTCGGGCAACCCTAAATAAAAACAGAAAATCAACTCCATGTGAAACGAAAAATCCTCCTGTACGCTGTTAACCTCACAACACGTTCGAGAAATGAGAACATTTGCACATTTGAGAACTCTCCATCCCTCATTCCCCCGTTCACACCTTTCTTGTCAAACTTTATCCTCACTTCTTCCTCATAGTACCTCTACCCATAAGAACACCCCTTCTTTCCCGCGTTTACCTTATAATAGACAGTGAATCACGGTGAATTGAATGTAATTAAAAAATTAAAGATGTTTACTGTGTTTGCAAAGGCATATGCAAACTGAGGAGACCATTGGTATAACTCGAGAGCAGATCTAGATGAAGCACTGATGTACAGTGGTGCATTGTGATGTATCCTTATGTAAACTGATGTACATTGATGCACTGTGATGTATCCTCATGTAAAATGATGTACAGTGATGTACTGCAATGTATCTTATGTAAACTAATACGCACCAACTTTAGAGCTCTCACAAACGTCTCAAAGGTTTGCATAAGCCAGCGCTAACAAAACAAAATTTTTGATTTTTTTCTATAAAATAACAACAATGCAAAACAAACAACTTAAAAACAAACGCTTAAATTTTCTCAGCAACATGTATTCATGGTCCATTTGCAAAATTCTCTTTGATTGATTTGATTGATTGAGCTCAGATCGAACGGAGCTCACATGCTTATGCAATCAGCGCATGCGTTGCATTGATTTTATTTTATAATGAACATTGAATAACAAGTAAATACTTCATTTACTTATCATATTGATCCATCGCAATGACCATTTACACAAGCCTTCGGCAGCAGTGGACGCAGTCTTGATCTTATCGATCGAATTCCGGATTCGAGGTGTACTTCTGACGGATGGTTTTCACAATGCTTGGTGCAATGTTATCCTATGGATATTTTCGGGTTTGAAATCTCTCAGAAAGAGTAAGCAAAGATAACATCATTAGAAAAGTGATCACCTTATCGTAAGTGTGTAGACTTTTAGGAAGCTTATGTCACCAAAAATCGTCTTGGAAGGTCCCCAGAAGTCTTCGATCTTTTTGCCTGAAATGAAAGTTCTATTCATGAAATTATTTCATTTACATGGTTTAAATCCCTTCTTGCAAAATATCTATTTACACTTTATCGTTTTTTGCATACAAAAACACCAGATGCTAGATTACACAGATGAGGAAAAGCAATGGACACTGGTATCAAATGTGTATAAATTTGTTTTGTTTTGAAAACTGAAAATCACCAAATAGTTCAATTGCATTCAAAACAGGTCAGGGAACTGAAGAGAAAGATAACGAAAATGCAAGTGTGTATTTAGCCAAAATGGTTATACTGTTTAATGATTGTTTTGCATTATTACACAATACATCAATGCATCAAAATGTGCTAAAATCTACTACTATTTGAGGTGGCTCCAATTCTGAAAACCAAAATAAAGAAGGTAAACAGTGCTTGTATACAATACTGTTCTCATTCATATATGATATATGCCCATCAGCTTCTATGATACTTTGTCTTCTTTCACCTGAGCCTTTCACCTGAATCTTTTCACCTGAATCTTTTCACCATGAGTCTTTTCACCATGAGTCTTTTAACCTGAAATTTAATCATACACATAACAAATCAAACAGCACCTAACAAACGATTTGTTTATGTAGAAAGCAATGTCAAAGCAAAAAATTCATTTAAAGGCATGGTATAGTATATACATGTACTAATTGCCTTTGATGCCAGGCTGATAATTGCCATTGTTTTTTTCAATGAAGGAAGATGCTATAATTGTGGCCACAAAGGCCACAAAATGAATGAATGCGAGAAAAGTAATGAGAAAAAATGAAATAACATTTCTTTCATGGCCATTGTAATTGACAATTATATACTTTTTTTTTGTATAGAGTTTAATGGTATGAGAAGAAGTTTGATTGACCTAGTGATAAAACATCAGCGTGATTAGATGGTTGAAAACTTCAAGTTGCATGCATTATTGTTAACAGAAATAAGCTAATGACACAAACAAATAAAAAGTGTTATGAACTACAACTTCCTTATGAATATTTAACAGGAAGACGTTGCTACATATGCAAAAGATTGGGCCATGTTGCCAAGCAGTGTAGGGAAGCAAACCTACCAGTCAAAAACGTGCTGAACAATTGCAGCACCTGTAATGATAAACTTTACAAGAAAATAAATTTTAAATATTTTTTTTCATATGAGTTATATTAACTGTTTGTTTACTGAAAAATTTTTGAAATGAGTTCTGGACCGTTTAGTAATTGAAATCAGAAGTACTGATGGTAAAAAATGGTTGAGCATAGACCAAAATTGAAAATATATTCCATGACAGGAAATGTACCTAAATGTCACTGAAGATGTACCATTATTTATATTCCAAATTCTGATGACACCATCGCCATACCTAAAATTTAAAAATAAACTGCAGGTGGAGGTGCATGTATGCAGGTTAAGCTTTACATTCTTCTCCCTGTAAGCAGCTGCAAATTTATTACATACATTAAGATCAAAAGCTGTTCAGTTTTCAAAAGCAAAGAAAATTATTTTATTTCGGCAAATTTTATTACCTGTTGTCAAAGGGATGTAATTTATCTAGTCTAACAAAAATGTAGAAATTAAAATAGTTTGGGACTTGTGGGGAATGTACACCAATGATTTTCATTTTTGTTAACATTACATACTGTACTGGTTGACTGACATTTTTTTCCTGGATATCAAGATATTTCAGAATACAAGGGGGAAGGGTAAGATCTGACTTTTATAAGTTAGGAGGTCCAGGATTTGGCTTTTATAAGCAGGTGGGTTGAGCCCTTCCCTGCCTGACCTTGTGTTTCTTACAACCATACCTTTTACTGTTGAAATTATTGATTAGCCACAATGAAGTAAATATTCAGTATCATTTACTAGACATAATGAAATGTTATATTATTTACAGTGGCGTAGCTAGCGAAAAACATTTGGTCGGGCTCACGAGGCGCCACCATGGTTGGCGCCGAGCGAGAAATTTTCCGAATTTAGACTCCCTAGAACGTCGGAAACGGCAATCTTAGAAAGCAAATGCGTGATATTTATGCAGGAAATAGAACCATTTTGGTTAATTTAAATTGCCGAAGGATCTTATAGTAAAGCAGAGAAACAGTTCAAAAATAGTTGCAGATATGTGATTTATTTTCTCAACACCACATACATAAATAGATACCTATGTACATATTGTAAAGAAACTTTAACAAAAGAACCGAAAAGGCTCAGATTTGTCATCAACAACTATCAAAAGTTGTGATGAAATTGTCGTGCTGAAATGACAATCATCATTGACTGCATTAAAAGTTCCTGAAAAATTCTCACATGCCATGGACGTAAGACATCATCAGCTTGTTATCAGCCATATATGAATACCTATTTGTATAAGAAAGCAAGTCTTCGTGGTTTTCAATGAACTTCTTTACTACCTCATCATGCAATGTGTTGGCGTTTTCTTTCTCTGACAGTATGTCTTTGTGAATGGAAATCCTGCAAAGAGAACTAAAACGTCCTTGGCTCAAAGTATTTCTAAGATAATTTTTTACCCTCTTCAAACATGAAAATGACCTCTGAACTGAAGCACTTGTAATTGACAAAACCCCATTTATCTTTAACTTCTGGAATACTAGATTGATAATGGAATTAAAAAATTATTTCAATAATTCATCGCATCAATCACAGTGAAAGTCTTTATCTCTGTAAATAAAACAAAGTTGGCTAACTAGCATTGGTATGTCAAACATATCACCATAAACCTCCTTTAGAAGATTTATCTTTTCTGAGGGCACTTCACCTTTCTACATCTTAAACACCCTAGGATTAACAAGGTCAAAAATCTAAAACGCTCCATATCCTGAAATCGCTCAGTCAGCATAGTCACAATTGTGTCAAGAATTTCAAAATACATTTGTTTGTAATTATGCCGTTGGTCATACCTGGTTACTGGTGGTCCCACTTTCTCAACAGCCAGGTTGTACACCTGACAATATTCTGTATCATTTCTCAGAGAAGCAACAAAGGCCTTGAATCTCTCAAACCTACTCATTCCATAATGAAAGTCAGTGTCCTTGTCTTGCAAGATAGAATAAAGTATGGATGACTGCTCAAGAATTCTCTGAAAACATGTACCAAGAAACAAAACAAGAAGCCATTAAGGTAGCCAAGTAAACCAGTAACCTTATTTATTGGATTATCAGTAAGATTTTCAAATATGTCTATCAGTTTCTCATAGTTAGAATGCAAGACATTGATGACATGAGCCCTATAATACCATCTTGTGTCACCAGGACTAGGAAACTCAAGCCTATGGGATGATAGTAAAGCTTTTCTTTTGGGGGGAATTGCTAGTAAAGGTGCAGAAAGCACTAATATTAACAAAGAAAATCTTAACAGGTGAGATGGAGGATGCAGCTTGACATAATACTAGATTTAGTCTATGGGCAGCACAGTGAACAAATTGAGCATAAGGATAATCCTGCTGAACTTGAGCTTGAACACCATTGAGATGACCAGACATAACAGATGCACCATCATAAGTCTGTCCAATAAATTTCTTTTCACATTATTATATTGACTTAACTTACCCTTAACCACTGATGATATAGCAGTTGCAGTCCTATCACAACTAACATCAACAAACCCAAGCTGTCTTTCAATGACACTTTCCTTTGTCCATTCGAACAATTACACTCAATTGTTCTTTGGTAGAAACATCAGTTGCCTCATCAACCTGTATACTTAAGAAAGTGCAGCAATATATTTCCTTTAAAATCTCATCCTCTATTATCTTATCAAGACAATCAATCAAATCATTCTGAATATCAGGAGAGACTCCAGTAAACCGCCCTCCCCCAGCAAGGTGGGTTTCAGCAAGCCTTCCATGTAATCGCCTTTCAAAAACAGAATCCATCTTGGCAAAACTTTCAAGTAGCTCTCTATAATTTCCTCTATTCATGCTGCTACTAGATTCATCATGCCCCCTAAATGCAAGCTCTTGCCTAGACAAGTATAAAACAGCTTCTGTTATGGTTTCAACATTTCCCTGTTTTGCCTTACCTCCTCGTTATGACGCTGAATCTCTTCACGTCTAGTTTGTGACATGAGACAGTCGATACGAGGCTGAAAACCGTAGGTCTTCCAGGTCTTGTAGGCACCCATGTGCGATTTTGCCTTCTCATGCTTCTTACAATCGGATAGGAAATTCTTTATGTTTTTGAATCCCGTCTGCGTCCATGAAGATGACGATCCAGGGCAAAATAAAAGACAAGGCCAACAGAACAATGCATTCTTTTCTGAGCTACAAGAAAGCCAATCTTTCTTCGAGTACCAACTTGCCTGAAAGCTTCTATTGCCTGTAGTCGCTTGTAAATTTGGAATTGGCCGCTGCTTTACGAGTATATTTTGCTCGCCTGACTGTCGAATTGCTCGACTGACTGATTATTTAATTAGATAAGTTGTTTTACTCACCCAACAGCAAGATGTTCAGAGTTAGGACTGAGGCAGAGACATGTAACTTCGCTCTTGTTACCTTGTAAGACATTCACCTAGACATTTAGATAAGCATATCATAAAAACACATTTTAATAGTAGAAAATCTAACATTGTTTTAAGGTTTCAACAATTCTCTTCTAATACTTTTTCGCCAAGTCTAGCGTCCCAAATATATACATTTTCTAGTGCGGGAACAATCGCGCGGCAAATTTCACGTCTTTTCTCGCCACTTTGAACAAGACACACATTAGCTCTAGCACTTCCCACTACGCCAAAGATTCCAGCTTCGACGTAACGCAGATAAGATTTTGTTAAGACCATTTTAAAGGAGAAAGAAGAGTCCTAAATAGTGGAAATTCATCTTGAGATACTACAAATTGTCACGATTTCCACGTTGGGATTTATGGCGTCAGATTTCCGCCAATATAGACCAGGAGGAAAAGGGGTGTTGTCCAATGGTATCGTCCCACAGTGGGGGCGATGGTGCATGTTTTGTAGCACAGACGCTAGCATGGTAGTTATTTTTACACATTTTCAACAACATCATGAACAATTCTTACTACTATATAACACGTGAGCCAACGAGCTTCCAAACTGTATATGTGATTCATCGATATTTCTTTTGAACAAATCTTCAGCAGACTTTGTGTTATTAACGGATTGTTTTTGTATTGGAGCATGTTCCTCGTTAGAGTTTTTATCGTCGTCAACATGCTTGGAATCATTGGTGTTTTCATAGGTGAACGTGTTCTCATCCAAAACCCTCGAGCGTAGACTATGTGCTTCAATACGTTCAATTTCATCAAGCTATCTTTAAGCTGGCGCCGTCGTTTAAGCTGTCGCCGTCGTTTAAGCTGTTGTCGTCTCTGTCACTCTTGATTTTGTTTCACTGTTGGAAGTTTCATTTTCCAGTATTTCTTCTACTTCAATCTTTGAATTGTAAAATCTGTCATAAATGTTAGAGGATTTTTATCCGCAAAATATGGAGATACAAAGTTTTGGAGAAAAAAAAAATCTCTAACATTGTCACAGATATTACGAGTGGCGTAACAAAGTGTTTATGTGTTTGATATGCAATTGTTAAAACAATCTTAAGAAGACAAACAGCGTGCCAAAAAAATTTTATTGAAAATTGCTAAGCAAATTCATAAGCAACAATTTCAGAGCTTGCTCGGTCCAAATTAATTGAGAATTAATCTTAGCATGCGTAGTCTACTGCACCAACACTTCATGTTCATGGTTATGGCAACGACCAACTGTATGTACTAGTACCGATTATGGAATAATTAGCTCCATCTAACAAAAATTTTTAGATAAATCATCTGCGCATGCGTGATCTCAATGAGCATGCGCAGTCAACTTTACCATTCACCAAAGTTCATGGTCATGGCAACGACCAACTACATCTACTAGCACCACTTTTGAAGTAAATTGCACGCTTAGTAACAATATAATAGAGAAATCATCTGAGCATGCGCTAGATGTTAACTAGCAGTGGAAGCTGGGTGCGATATAGTATGCAGTGGCTTAGGGCCCAGACTTCGGTCATGACCGCACTCTCCCTGCGTACCCCAAGCAAAGCCTATCGCAGGTGATCTCGTGGTTTGATGGGCGGAAGCTTGCTATTGCATCTCCCAAGTAGGACAGCGTGGAGGGGCCGATATCTCCTACCAAAACGTTAACATGCGGCGTTCTAGTGCCTTACGCTTAAGAGGGTATCGGGAAGCATGGACCGAAAACAGGTCTTTTGCTTTTCAATTTATGTTTTTGTTTACAAAATAAACCAATGTTCATAAAATAAACCAAGTAATGTTTCAATAACTTCTTCTGACACTGTGCCTTTTTCTTGCACTTATAATTTAAGACAACCTTAAACATGTTTTATACAATTTTTATTGGTTTATATCTTTCTGATTTAACTCTCTCATTTACTGTTTCTCGCGTATCACGTGCAAACCATCCATGGGCTACAGGACTGATAGGATTATCTGGTTCCCTTAATTAACATGAGACATTCCAGTGCTCAAATATCTCGGGGCAACGGGAGGCATAGAACAAAAACGGGATTTTCATTTTTTCAAAATTTATCTTTTTTCTTTAACATAATTCTTCTCAAAAAGGAAACTAGAACATCCAAAGATATTGCAAATTTTCAAACAATTTCTGCCTTTTTGATTCATAACGTAAACCGACTCTAAGCATGTTCATACATTTTTTACTTGTTACCTTTTACAATGTAACTTCCTCAAAATCTCTCGTGATGAACGAGAGCCTCTTTATACAATATGACTCTCCCATAATGAAGAAAAGTATCCATGGGCTTCATGAAAGAAAGGGATTATCTACTTTCTTACAAGTTTCTACAAAGATAACATTTAATAAGCCAAGAAATTTGTATCGTCTAAATTGAACCTCGCTTTGAACCATTATGTTATATAATTTTGATTAATTTTGGAAGATAAACTTCTTCTTGCCTTACAATATTTTTATGATCCAATCTAGAAAATAACTTCTCTTCTCGGGTAATTTTGCAATTAGACAGCACACTTTTCCACAATCTCACGATGAATCAACCACATTCTCTGTTGGTCCTTGTACTATTCCTCGTCAATGGCTATCCTTAGAGTACTCTTCTCACAATACTCCATCTATATATACAAATTTGGCAGAGTGCACTTTGAATTTTCTTGCAAATCTCTTGTGGTGATTGCTTCCTCTTCACTTTCGAAATCAGATTCCGTCGTTGTAAAGGAAAGATTCATGTAGTTATTTTTACATATCTTTAACAACATCATGAACAGTTCCCACTCCTACATACCACGTGAGCAAACGAAATTCAAATAGATTCAAATAGAAAGAATTACTTTGTTGTTAAACAAAATGCTTCTTGAATAATAACAATCGTCAAGCAAAAAATCAGAAATATTGACTGAACCGAAAAAACGATACCATGAGTTCCAAAAACCTTGACGATAAAAGTGTAAAAGAAAATGAGACATGGTTGCCACAACAACGCGAACAGTTATCCTATTCAAGCATCTTTAGACTTTACTGTCATTCTTATCCTGCAAAGCTCATATTTCCAAATTTGAGTGTGTTTGATCAAAATAATGTTGTAAGTGAAGGCTACCTGAAACACCCGAATCTCAGTTGAACTGTAGGGAGCTTCATTAAAGGAATGACAAATGAGTTTAAAATCCCTCACTGGAACGTTATCACCCTTACATTACACCGCAGAGGTGATTTCCCGCAGTTTTTGGCTTCATAAAAAGGTAGCGTCCCAGTTGTATTTAGCTCAATGGCATGGTCTATAAGCTAGCTACACTACTTTATCATTTTATAGCTATTGAACAAAATGGTTTGATACCAAGTTTTATCTATATATTGTGTTGCAAGTCGTCTATATAGCAAAAACATATAAAATTTGCATTCCCCATTCTATCATTTTGCTGCTATGAAAAGAATTCATTATTTCACAACATTAGTGGGATTTTTCATTTCCAGTAAGTGGGATTGTACGACACTATTTGCAGCAATACTGTATTCCAACTCAATTGGAACAAAAGTTAACTCAAAAGTTAGATCTGCAGTTGATGCACTTCGTATTGTTAGAAACAAATTTATCCATGATTGTAGTGGTAAAGTATCTGATTCCGAATTTGACAAAATGGTTTGTGATATTGAAAATTCGTTTCAAGATCTAGGATTTTCATTCAATGAAATTAATAAAATAAAAAGACAACGAAACAAATTTAATTCTTTTCAAGTACTTCCTTGCAAACCAAATCATGGCATTGTTAAACGTACAAAATTACTTAATCAAATCACAGCAGATCTCAATAGCTTGTGCAGTACTAACAATAATAAACTGACATACTACTATATTTCTGGTAATCCTGGCAGTGGTAAATCTCAATTAGCTAGACAAATTTGCAACGAAATGTTTAACTCTGTTGACTGGGAAAATAAAACTACATTTGTGATGACACTCGAAGGAAAAGATGCTGAATCTCTCTTAAAAACTTATAATGACCTATGTCAACGTTTGAACATCCATGAACATTTTATTGAAAATGTTTTTAAAAATGTAAAAAGCAGCGAAGACAGAATAAAACACTTTCATTTCCTGCTGACACAAAAACTGAAATCTTGGAGAATATGGTGGATTGTTGTTGATAACGTGGTTGAACTGGATAAAATTTATCCATTATTACCTCAAGTTGGTGATCATAATTGGAAAAATGGACAAATTATAGTAACTGTCCAAAATACCGATGCTATACCACCAGATGACAATTTAAACAAACACATTTCAATCAGTCATGGTATGAATGATAAAGAATGTCGTCAAATTCTATCTGTCTATTCCGATATTCATAATCATGATGAAGAGTTTTTAAAGAATTTGTCAGAAAAATTAGATCGTCAACCATTGGTCCTGGCAAGTGCTGCTTACTACGTAGGTAGTGTAAATAGTGCAAATCTGGAATTCACGTGGGAGCAATATTTCGATAAGTTGACTGAAGGAGAGCGACAGAGCATGGATGCCACATTTCAAAAGATCAATACAGCATATTCTGGAGGTAAATCAACTATATTGAAAACTGTTGAGCTGGCAGTACAAAAAAGTACTCAAGAATCCATATTAATGGGAAAAGTTTTTGGTCTTTTCTCGATAATATCTTTCGATCCGTTACCACAAGATATTATCATACAATTTATTAAAAGCACTGATCCACATACGTCTGCAGAAGATATATGTCTTCAATTAAAGCATTGTTCGTTAATTCTTCAATCGGAAAACAACGACATCCGCCTGCATCGCGTTGTACATGAAGCCATCATAAATTATCAAATTTGGCAGACCTCTTGCAGTAAACAAAAAGAAAATAATTCGACTAAGATGTCTCTACTTGCGTGTCAAGTCGCTTGGGCACTCTATCATTTTGAAGACAGAGAAGATCAAATCAAAATAATTCCCCATCTAATTAAATTCATAACAAATTCATCATTTCAACATTTCCTAAATAAGTTGATCGATGTAAAATCATCAAAACAAGAACTTGATGAAAGCAATTGGAAAATTGCTAATTACTTTGCAAATGTATTAAAAAAATTTTACAACTTTAAACAGGCCATCAATGTACTTAAGGATATAACAACAATTCAAACTAGAGTGTTAGGTGTTAATCATGTTGATGTTTCATATTCGTACAACGAGATGGGTTGGTTGCTTCGGGAGAATGGAGAGTACGAAAAAGCAAAAGATTTTCATGAACGAGCGATGAAAATTCAAACAAAAGCATTTCGACCTGACCATGTTA